TGGTGCTTGTCCTCTTTCATAAGAAATTTGTCTATTTGCTTTTGGAATTCAGGAGAACTTTTGTTTTTTCCAGCACCCCATGTTAGAGTTTCTCAGTATGGCTAAGCAGGCAACGCAGAGAGCGCACTTCCAAATTGTGCTTTTTCCAAATTGTAGACCCTTCCCTTCCTCCTGGGTCCACTCAGCTTCTCACCCAGCAAAAGTAGGGGAAAAAGTTCTAGCTCTGGCAGAAATAGATGGAAAGCTGAATGATCAGTGATTTGTCTGTGTTAATCATGACTCTGCATCACTATGATATCTTTGAGTCGCCTCTTTCTGAGCTGCACGTTTGTTATAATCTGCTTCACCTGCATGAGGAATTTGTGCCACGCCTCTGATGATGTTTTTCTTGCCCTTTTGAAACTCTTACACTGCGTACTTGGAAAAGGAGGGAGAGTGTCCAGATCCACACAAAATGCATGTGGTTTTGGAGGAACTGGGCTAACACAGCAGCGAGTTCGCTTCTTTATTTTTATTTTTCATTATTCCGTTGTAATCCAGTTGCTCTTGTGGCCACTGCTGAGCATTAAGCTGGTAGTAGATTTTTCAGGGTCACCTGTTATTCTCACAGTGTGTGTTTAGAGACAGAAAACTGCTTGGAGACTCCAAACTCTTTGAGAGGGGTGTCTGATGGTGTTTGAGGTTTGTAGATACATTTCCTGGAAGAGGTCTGAGTATTGCTGGAACTGTAGGAAAAGCAGCACTTCTGGGCAGTGGGCAGTGCTTGTGGAACCTGCTTTCCTGGGACAGATCCAGTGCAGCTGTATTCTGCTGCAGGAACAGGAGCAGAGAGGATGTTGTCACAGGGTTCTGGGGGTCCTGGGGACTGCTGCCACTGTTTTTGTCACCTTGCTAAGTGATGGCTGGGAAATGGTGGTCCGTGGAGGGGAGGCGAGCTTGGGAGGCTGTTTCACGCTGGCTCTGCTCTAAAGAAAGCAGCCTGGCCTAGTGAAAGGTGTCCCTGTCCATGCCAAGGGTTTGGACTGAGGTGGGCTTTGAGGTCCCTTCCAGCCCAAGCCGTTCCATCATTCTAAATAAAGACACGGTAAATATCCCTGTGGTCACAATGAATTGTTTCCAGGCACCTCTAAGCCTCTTCCTTCCCTCCTCTTTTCATGTATGGATCCTGTATTGGCAGTATTTTATAAACAAAGTCTGAGAAGCAGCAAAGGCAGCTTTCCCTCCCTCTGTTTAAAGTGCAGGATTTGTTATCAAAGGAGAGATTTAATCGATAAAGCTCTGAGAGAGGCTGTGCCTCCCTTCAGGTCAGTGTGTTTGTGCCAGCTCGGGGCTCTTTGCTTCTAAGTGCAGCGAGGAACGTAATTTTGGGGGAAAAAACAATGATCTTGTAATGGATCTGTGCCAGGCAGAAGGCTTGGCAGTGATGCCTTTTGGAAGGTGGTGGTGGGTGTTTCCACGGCTTTTGGAGAGCCAACACCACAGTGCTGCTGGAGTACTGCTAGAGGAGAGCCAGGATGTGGAAGGCCGCCTAGCATCCCTTTGTTCCACCGAGAGCTCCGAGGGATGCTGGCAGCCAGAGCCGGGGCACCAGAGCTCCTGGTCCCGCAGTAACCCGGCTGATTCAGCTCTGAAAGCCCAGCCTCAGGCCAAGATTCTTATCGGGGCTGAGGAGCAATTAAAGCTCTGAAAAACTGAGCTCTGTAAATAAAGTTCTGTGATGACTGTCATTAGTGGTTGCTGCACATCTGGACTTGTGATGCCACAGGGGCACATCTGGAAGGGACTGGGAAGAGGAAGGTGAACGTTCTGCTTGCCACAGAATCACAGAACCATAAAGGGGTTGGAAGGGACCTTAAAGATCATCTTGTTCTACCCCCCTGCATCTTTCACTGTCCCAGGTTGCTCCAAGCCCCATCCAGCCTGGTCTTGAGCAATGCCAGGGGTGTGTCCACAAGCTCCCTGGGCAACCTGTGCCCAGTGTCTCCCCCTCACAGTAAAGCATTTCTTCCTCATACCTAAACTCCCACTCTTTTCAGTTCGAACCCATTATTCCTTGTCCCCTCACTGCAGTTCCTGATGCAGAGTCCCTCTTCAGCTTCCTCACGGCCCCTTCAGATAATTGAATGTTGCTTTGAGGTCTCCACACAGCCTTCTCTTCTCCAGGCTGGACAGCCCTAGCTGTCTCAGTCTGTCTTTGTAGGGGAGCTTCTCCAGGCCTTCTATCCACAAATCATTCTGGTGGCAGAACTGTGAGATTCTTATGTTCAAAGAAAACAAAACAAAAAACTTCCTGCTGGGGTAGAAGATCTGGAATGACTTTAAATCCAGGGAAGGTGCCTTGGTGGTTTGCTGAGGCACCAAACCAGGGAGAAACGAGCTACTTTGACAGGGGCTGCAGTCCCTCAGCCTGTCCTGCAGGAGCAGAGGCTCGTTTGGGGCTGTGACAAGGGGATGACAGCACTCAGACCATGGCCACCCTCTGATCTTGATCCTGGGATGTGATGAGAATACAGCTGCTGATGTGCCAGCCCCCATGCTTTTAGGGGGCCTGTGCTCTCAGGTGTGCCCTGATAGAAGCAGGCTGAAACAAACAGGCATTAAATGGTTCCTTGTGCTCCTGTTCCTGAGATTTTTAAAAATCTAGCAGTGACCAGACTGAAAATTCTCCTGTAAGGCAGGAAGATCCCAGTCCTGATTAAATGACGTTTGACAAAGCTGCTGGTTTGAGCCTGCAGCTCTGGGCACTTCCCGTGGTGCCACCCCTGCCCTGCCCGTGGCTATTGTCCTGAGCCCTTCCCTTGCTCTGTGCCCAGGGACATGCCAAACCTGGCACGCTCCCCCAGCCCTGCTTGCTGGCTGCCAGGCCAGCTCCCGTGGCCACCAGCTGGTCCCTGGGCTCGTGGCATGCTCTGGCTGGCTGTGCCCATCTCTGCTCCCAGCTGGAGCCCAGTGGAGCCGGAGGTGGCCCTGGACCCCCGAAGCCAGGGGTGAGCCTTGCTGTGACCTGTGTGGCCGAGGCAGCGGGGTCTGGGGACCCTGAGCAGTGTCCCTGCCCGTGCTGGACAGGGATGTGCCTCTGGAATGATGCTCAGGATGGACTCGCTGTTCCTCAGCCCAGAGGTGATCGCCCTTGTCCTGGGAGGCACTGGAGCAGAAGTTAAACAAACTCGGGTTTGTTTTTCTTTTCAATTTTTTTTTTTTTTTTTTTTGTAAACGAGATCGTTTGCTTGGAAAACCCTGTAGACCTCCCGCTACCTGAGACATAGGGGTAGGCAGCGTTTTGCTTCTTTTAATTTGAGGAGTGTTCTCCTTGAGATAGTGGCAAAAGGACAGAAGAATTGTTGCAGGTGGAGGTCTGGCAGCTGCTCATTGGTCTGCACGGAGATCAGTGCAAGGGTGCCTGAAAATTGCAGTTTGGTTGGAGGTAATTTGGGACATGACTGCCACGTCCTGGAGACAATAATGGAATCACAAAGTAAATGAAAGGGACCTTAAAACCCATCTCATTCCACCCCCTGCTATGGGCAGGGAGACCTCCCACTATCCCAGGCTGCTGCAAGCCTCTGGCCGTGGGCTCTTCCAGGGATGGGACAGAAGCAGGAATGGATTACACTGGTGGTGCTGCTGAATGAGTTTGATGCTATTCATTCAGTCCAGTTTCTTTGGGAAACTTTCCACTGTTCACACTCACACTTTCATTCTTGTGCTGGGAAAATAAGGACATGGAGATCTGGGAACTCCCCTCCAAGTCCTTCTTGTCTGCAGCTGAGATGGCTTATGCTACAACAGTACCTGCTGGTTTTAATGGAAATAAATTATGTTAGTATCTTGCTAATGATGCTAGGTCTAAGCTGACCCAGCTCTGTTTAACAGGATGTGCTGATTAATGGGACTGGAACATCTTGAACATTTGGGATAGCAGAGACCTGCAGGGGTTAGAAATGACATTTAAGTGATTTTCTCTCGAATTTGACGTGTAACATGGAACGCGTTCCAGGTCTCTAAGAATGCAAGATGGGCAGAGAGGAACTTGGAGAGTGGTGATGCTGAGACACTTGGGCTGTAGAGAAACAGTCAATTAAAGAGGGTTTTTAATGAAGCACAGCAAGGAAGGGACTGTGTTCAGCAGTGCCTGCCGGGACCTTTGCCTGCACATCAGGAGTAACTTCAGAAAGCCCATCCTGAGCCACTGTGCTGGTGGTGGAAGTCTCAGACCTGGTTTTACTTATTGGAAAGGAGCACACAAATCCGAGTGTGCTGAGAGCTCTTCCAGGAATAGCCAGCACTGCCTGGAATGCCGTGGCACAGCCACACTGTGGGCAGATGCTGCTTGTGCAAGGCAGGAGAAGCTCCCATCTCAGCTGCTGTTGCCTGCCCCAGCGGTGCTGCAGGGCACCACTCCTTAGGAGCTGCTGCTGGAGCAGTTTGGGGTGAGCAGAGTCAGCTGGATCCATGGGGATGGGCAGGAATAGCTGCTGCCAGCAGGGTGACCTCACCCCAGCGCTGGGTGATGCCTGGCCGGGCAGGAGGAGCTCCCCTGGGCACCCAGGAGGGCTGGGCTGCTGGTTTTTTGTGGTGTTTTATAGTGCAGAGAAGGGAAGTCACCTGTGGCTGTGGGATACCCTGCATAAAGGATAGCTGGGTTCAGTCTGGGTCAGTGGCAGAGCAGAAGCCCTGAGCCAGCCTGCCTGTAAAACAGGGCCCAGGAATTCAGAATGGTTTGGATGGAAACGAACCTCCAAGCCCATCCCACTCCGTGCCATGGGCGGGGACACCTTCCACTATCCCAGGTTGCTCCGAGCCCTGTCTAACCTGGCCCTGGACACTTCCAGAGATGGGAAATACTAGATGTCACTTGGTATAGTGCCAAAAAAACCCCTGACCCCCCCAAAAACAGAACTTGAGCAAGTTCTTTTGGTGTAAGGGTGGCTGGTTAGGTCAGCATGGGTCTCAGATGGGGTTGCTCCAAGCCAGGGTGTCTGCTGCTTCTCTGCTTCCATATTTTGCTGGGCAGGGGCCAGAGGTTGCTGACTCTCTGGGTTATTTCCTCTCTGTTCTCGCTCCCTCCGTCTAATACATAGCTTCAAAATAATTGGGAATGGTGGATTTTTTCCCCTGGGGCAGTATGGAGCTGCTTCTGAGTAATCTGCTGGAGGCTTAGGTAGAGTGGGAGTGGAATTGATTGTGTGGGTTTTTTTCCTTCCTGCTCCAAGACCACTTCTTGGCACTGAGGAATTTTTCTTCAGACTTCTTTGGGGAACAGATGCATGAAGTACAGTTACCACTCATACATATGGCTTTTAAAATATGGAAGCTGTTGGACTGAAGTGGCTTCATATGGTGCTGTTGGAGAATGAGAATTAACATGGAATTTTGGGTTTCTGAGGCTTTAGTGTGTCGTTGTAAAGTTGTTTTCTTTAATTGTTTTTTTTTATTTTTTAAATAATGTTAAGTATTAATCTGCATCTTTATGGTTATTAATCAAAGTAACATTTACAACTCTGAAAATTACTCTCTGCAGCCCTTAATGCCTAAAATAGCATTGTAGTTAAATCTCGGGGATAAATAGGTTATATAATGTACAATTTAAATTGCTGTTAATCTCAATTTGCTAACGTAGACATCTTTTTCTTTAATTGCAGGTTCCCATTTTAAAAGCCATTGGAAGACACTCTGCCACCCTCTTGGATTACTTCCCATACGACTCATCATGTCACTGTGCCCTGGATTTTACAAGGTGGCCATGATTTAATCCCCACTTCCCACTCCTATGTATTGGTGAAGCACTGGAGCTCTTTTGAGCTGCTGTTACTCCCGTGGGAACTGATCAGTCTCAAATCCCTTCTCCCAAGGACTTGACATTGCCAGCAATGAGCTCCCAAAGCCATCCAGGTAAGGGCAAGGCCACTTGGAGTCCCAGCAGTCACCCCAAAACACAGTTTGTTGCATGAACACACCTTTGAGTCGTGCTGAAATGGTCATCCAGGCCCCTTCCCTTTCCTGCTTCGTCTAAAACTTTGTGTAAAGGTGGAAAGTGCTGCTGCTGTTACCAAGAGTTACAAGGAAATTTTACCCTTTCAGGTTTTCTCTTTTTTTTTTTTTTGTTCCAAAATTTGGGTTTCTAATCGTAGCATCAGTGAAAGTTGGTATTTTCTGGGTCATTAAGCAGATGTTTAATTTGTTAAATCTGTGCTGATGAGCATTAATGATATAGAGTGTACCTCCAAGGAACGGGCATGGTTATGCTGGTGCCTTTGTTGATATTTAAGAAAACTCTTGGACTTTTAAAGTACTTTTTAATAGGAAGGAATAGTTTTGCTGGAACAAAAGTCAATTGATCCACCTCAATGCTGTCTGGGGGATTATCCCTAATGTGTCTTGTAATTTGAGGCATGATTCATCACTACCAAATTGTGCATTTCTGTCTGTCATGGGGATCTATAGCTGCTCAGTTACCTGCTTTGCAGCTTAAAGGTGCCTCACACATTTGTTTTGAGGGAGTTTGGGGCAACTTTTGTGTTAGGCAGAGCTTTGTAAGAGGAATTTTAATTGTGCTTGGGCTGTTTCAGTTTATGGTACAGAACTGGCTGCTGGGAAGCAAATAATCCAACAAGGCACGTGGAAGGACTTACTTCAATCTGCCTCTGAGAGATTACTCTGTGACTTCAGTTTAATCAGGTTGGGGTTAACAAGTAAGGCTGAAATGCTAAAAGCCAGAGAACAGCTCATAACATTTAAAGAACTGCTTGTTTATGGGGGAATATATCCTGCAATTAATAGGGGTTCTGGAGTCTGCAGGCAGCAGGGGTACACCCAACCCTCTCCTCACAACTGAAACGAGTCTCTAAAATCATTAGAATTATCAACAAGAAAAAAAAAAAGTGGCCTCTGCTTCCATAATGTAGCAGTCTTAGATTTTGAAATTTGTTGGTGCTATGAGGAGTTGAGAAACTGAAGTGTGTTTGTATGAGTGTAGGTGTTTACTGGAGACACAGATGCAAAGTGTTGTTTTCCAGGAGCTCTGTTCTTGAGATAACAGGTAATTGCTGTTTCAGTGTTTTCATGACTCAGGAGTGAGGCTGGGCAGCTGTGCCTGCCTGCTGTTCTCTCGCTGTGGTTGTAGTGGTGGGACACCTTGAACACCCACCTGCAGTCCAAACCCAGCTGTGGGCGTTGCTTGGCTCCTGAAGGAGCAGCTCTCCAGAGGTTTGGGAAGTGGTGGTGTCCTTCCTGGTTAGGCTGTTATGCAGTGGAAGTCTGATGCTGGTTTGCCTTGCTTGCTCTCAGAATTCATTCCTGAACACTTGTTTCTCCAGCTTCATTCTGCTGCTTTGGCTCAGCGTTTCTGTAGATCCAAAAATCACCTCGAGCTTTGTTTCTCTAACAACCCCATCTAGAATGGTGCTGAGAAGGGTGGTCTGATCCAAACCCAGGGGTGTGGCAGCTGGGTGGGATGGTGTTGGATGTCCACATGCCCTTCCTGGGTGCTGGACTCTTACTCTGCTTGTATTTCTGGAATCCTGCAGTGTTTCATGGTGTCTTTCCACCCCCAGTGTTCTTGTTGCTCATTTCTCTTTCAAGAGTCAGTTATATAATAAGGAGCAGAAATATTTCTCAAGCCTTGCCAAAGATGACATCTGGACTTCTCATGTCAGTTGTCATAGCTGTGTTGATTATACAGCTACAGGTAATTATTCCTAATGATGAACATTGTTTAAGGGAAGGCTCTGGCTTAACTCGAGAGCCTATTAAGCCTTGCTTCAGTGGGTTCAAGCTTTCTTCTCTAATCTTCTCCAAGGCCAGCACTAATGGGATGTTTCAGGAGCTGTGCCATGAAATTGTTGCGGTGTAGATGAATGGAAGTGGTTTGGGTTGGGCTTTTTGTCCTGTGCTTTTTTTTTTTAATTTATTTTTTCGTTTCACTCTGTGAAGCTTTTGTGAGAAGTGCTGGGCACTGAGGGCTTCTCTCTGAACGAGGTGGAAAAATATGGAGAAGATTTAAGTTGGCTAAGAAAAGCGTGACTTCTTCCCTCATCACTGCCTCTTCTTTTGTTGCATTTTGGAGGAAGATTCCATAGGGAGTAAGAAGCAGCTTTTAGAGAAGAAGAATACCCAGGTGAGAGCAAACTTCCTGGGAGGTGTCACGTGGCCCTTGGCTTTTGGCAGAGGAGTCGCCGCCTCTTCCAGCACTGGAACAAAGCTGGAAAAAAAGACGCTGAAATTGTGCTGCGAAGGCTCAAGTTGCTGTGAAGTATAATTAAGAAAATTAGGCTAATTAAGATAACATTGAGGATTATGACAAAGCTTGGGGGGGCGGGGGAAAGCGTGTTTAGTTTCACTCCTTAACCTGTTCACGCTGGCCACAATTTACACTTGCCTTACATAACCCATGGTGCTCACCTTACCCAGGCTGACTGGGTTGTGAGTAGGTGTGGGGGTTTTTTTATAGTTTTTTAAAATGTTTTAGGTTTTTTTTTCCCCCTCTCTTACTGACCTTAAATGATTCCTTGCTGTCGGCTTCTATCTCCCCCCTTAATGTTCAGTGGCTTGAGTTTCACTGTCGTTCGCTTCTTTAATCAGTAAAGATTGTTCTGCTGATACTAGTTATACATAAAGATAAGTTTTAAAAAACCAAAACACTTAAAGTTAATCACTCAACTGATTTGTATTTGTTTAAAGTTCACTTTCCTTTGTAAAAGCTGAAAATCTCCATGTTCAATGAAGCATTTTGTTTATGAAATGTTATCTTGCAGGAATTAACCAGTCTGAATGCAAATGCTCCATCCTTTCTTCAGAGCCACCCTTGCAGAGATGCAAATTTCAGCTACATTTTGCAGTGCTGAATGTTTGATAATTAGGAATATTGAAGTTTTGAAAATGAGCTGCCTGGCTGATGGGGAGAAATCTGCAGCAGGGATCATTAGGGCTGAGAGGAGCTCCCGGAGGAAGCAGAGAGCTCTGGGATCGCATGGCATCAGGAGAACGAGTTGGGGAATCACGTACTGTGATTTGCTGGGCAGATAAGGACTTTTGCACAGGGCTTTATCTGCAGCCAGCCACTCTTCTGCTCTGCTCCATGGCTCAGTGAGGCATGGAGAGCCATTTCATGCAGCACACACAGAACAGCTCTCCCCATGAGCGTCTCCCATCGTTTTGCGCTGCCCGATAAATATTTGATGCGTTCTCTTTTTAAAGATTAAGAAGTTTCTGTGGAGATGCATTTCAAGGCAGCTTTAAATGACACTGACCTACTTTCTGGCAGCAATGAGGCTGTCTGGGGAAGTTATCTGGGGGCAAGAATATAATTTCAAATAAACACAAGGACTATGGAGGTAAACTCCAGCTCTCTTCTAGCAGGGCTGGGC